GCTCTTTCTTTTGAATTTTGATAATAATATTCTTTATTTAAGGGCTTTTTCTCCTTTTTCTGACCATTGCTTTTCCATCCATTCTGTTCCTGTTGTTTTGCTGTATCTTTTCTTATTACTTCTGGGTTTTAGAGTTTGTTTTGAAGCTTTTCTGTGCTCCCTACATTGTTTCTGTTTCCTCTGGGTTCCTCTGTTTCTTTTCAAAATGATTCTCTCAGATGAGATGCTTTCTTCAAGTGTCTTGTTTTATCTTTGTCTATCTTTTCATAGAATAGTGACGCACTGAACAGCTCTGTAAGTTTGTCTGTAAGGGTGAGGCTTGTCTGCAGTGGGCTTCACTCTGAGGTTAGGGAGCAGGCTGCCTTCTTCATTGGAGGAAGGCATCTTTGTGGGGTTTTGTTTTTGTTTTTTTGCAGCATTTAGTTTTTTAGTCTTCCATCTGGGGCCTGTAAACTTGGCCACCGATGTTCTGACATCAGGATGTAGGAAGTTCTGTGAATCAGTCGTTCGTCACAGCCCTTGGACCCCTTGTGTTCAGTCCCATCCGTACCTTTGCTGTCTGCTGTGCTCAGTGTCCCTGAGTCCAGAGCCCCCTCCTGCCTGCACTTCCCTCTGCCGGCACTTAGGTTGTAGCTTCCTTCACGCTACTTAGGTTGTTACTGCTCCTCTAACTTCTTCCTGTCAAAAATGTGTTGAAATCTTTTATCTGCTTTGCTGGCCTCACATGTTCTCTTTATCTTTGGGAGTGAATATCAACTTAATTTCTTTATTGTCCAGTTTAGTGGGAAGTTAGGATGGAGAAGAGAGGGAAGCAAGAAGTTGGTCTGCCATACTTAATTTGGTGTCTATTTTTAAATGAAATATTTTTAATCCAGTTTTTAGGGCAAAATGGTAAGAAGAGGATCTGATTAGTTACCGTCCAGAGAGAGAAGTCACTCAAACTGAAATTTCGCAGTACTGTATTTGAGTAAAAGCTCAAACTCAGGTTTACCTTCCCCAATGAACAGAGCAAAGTATTGTTGCTATTACCAGAGTCAGCAGAGAGAGCAGATAAGCCCAAGGGTTTGACTCTGCTTGGGAAGCCAGATCACAAGCCAGGTGCTGGGTTTGTAACAGAAACCTAGTTGTGAAGCCACTTGGACTGCTGCAGTCAATGCATTGTACTGTGTTCACTGGATCAGTTCACCCTCCGTCAGTAAGGGGAAGTTAATGTCAGGTTTGTGGTACTCTTTGGCTCTGCACGACAGTAATTTAACCTTTTCCCTTGTGTTTTATAATGAAAAAAATGTTCTTAATTGGAAGTAAAGAATA